AGTGTTTATTACTATTTCTCTTTTTTCATTTTATTTTTTTTCACAATTAATTCATTATATATCCCAGTTGTGGCCCCCTTCCTCAACTACATCCTGTCCCACACTTCCTCCTTTCTTCCCTATCTCCTTCCCTTAGTCAAATGGAAGGGGGGAGTTCTGCACCATTGCCATCTCCCCATAGCTTGTTAAGTCTCATCAGGACTGCCTCGATCCTCTTCCTCCATGGCCTGGTAAGGCCACATCATCATGGGCAAGTGATCAAAGAGAAGGCAACCAACTTCATGATAGAGGCAGCTCCTGCTCCCCTCACATTCTCCACCAATCTTCTTGTAGCTGTTGAGGCTTGCTTTGTGCCCGACAATATGGTCAGTTTTGGAGAAGGTTTCATGAGGTGCTGAAAAGAAGGTGTACTCTTCTGTGTTTGTGTGAAATGTTCTGTAGACATTTATTAGGACCATTTGTTTTAAGACCTCTGTATCATTGTTTCTCTGTTTAGTTTCCGTGTCAGTGATCTGTCCCTTCATGAGAGTGGGTTGTTGAAGTCTTCCACTATTAAAATGTTGGGATCAATGTGTGATTAAACTTTAATAATGTTTCTTTGACAAATGCAAGAACACTTGTATTTGGAACATAGATGTTCCGGATTGTGATGTCCTTCTGGTGGATTTTTCCTTTAATGAGAATGAAATGTGTTTCTCCATCTCTTTTGATTAATTTTGGTTGAAAGTCTATTTTATTAGCTGTTATGGTGGCTACTACAGCTTATTTCTTGTGTTCATTTGCTTGGAAAACTTGTTTCCAGCCCTTTATTCTGAGGTAGTGCAGAGGTGTGTTTCTTGAATGCAACAGAATGTTGGCCCCTGTAATCTGCAGCCAATCTGTTAGTCTGCATCTTTTTATTGGAGAGTTGAGACCACTGATGTTAATAGATATTAGTGACCAATGATTGTTAGTTCTTTTTATTATGGAGTTGGTGGTAGTTGTGTGTCTCTCTGTTTGTTTTCTTTTGCTTTTTTGATGTTATACTGTCTTCATTCTGTGTTTTCTTGGGTGTAGTTTATGTCGTTGGGTTGAAGTTTTTCTTCTAGTATCTTCTGTAGGGCTGCGTTGCTGCCTATATCTTGTTTAAATTTAGTTTTGACGTGGAATATTTTGATTTCTTCATCAATATTGATTGAAAGTTTTGCCAGGTATAGGAGTCTTGGTTGGCATCTGTGGTCTCTTAGTGTCTGCATGATATCCACCCAGGTCCTTCTGGGTTTTATCGTCTCTGTTGAGAAATCTGGAGTGATTCTGATGGGTTTGCTTTTATATGATACTTGGCCATGTTCTCTTGTTGCTTTTACTATTTTCTCTTTGTTCTGTAGATTTACTGTTTTAATTCATATGTGGTAGAGGAGTTTCTTTTCTGTTCTAGTCTATTTGGTGTTCTGTAGCCTTTGTATGTTTATGAGCAACTCTTAAGGCTGGGGAACTTTTCTTCTATAATTTTCTCAAAATTATTTTCTGGGCCTTGGAGCCTGGAATCTTCTTATTCATCTATTCTTATTATTCTCATGTTTAATATTTTCATGGTCCTTGATTTCTTAGATGGTTTCTATTTGTAACTTTTCTGATTTTAATTTTTCTTTGAGAGATGTATCAATTTCTGCAATTGTATCTTCAGCACCAGAGAGTCTCTTTTCCATCTTTTATATTCTTTTGGTGATGCTTACCTTTGTGGTTCCTGAGCTTTTCCTCAAGTTTTTCAGCTCCAGGATTTCTCTATTCGCGTTTTCTAAATCTGTTTTCCTATCTTTCACCATCTCGTTCATATGTTTGAGTGTGGATTCCTGTTGGTTCATGATATCCTCTATTTTTTTAATTCCTCTTTATGTGCCTCAAATAACTGAATAATTATTTGTTTAGGATCATTTTCCTGTGTTTCAGCTGAAATAGAATAGCCATTGTTTTTTTGCAGATTCTGGTGAAGTCAGGATGTCCTGTTTTTTGTTGCCTGTATTCTTATGCTGGCCTCTAGCCATGTGGCTTTTTGTAGCCTTGACTGATTATTCTTGGAGCCTGTACTACATACTGGATTCACCTGTCTCTGGAGTCTCTATTAGTCTCCCCTGGATTCACTGTCTCTGCTGGCTTCCTGTTTTATGACCCAGGTAGCTGGAGCACAGGAGAAAAGACCTCTGAGTCTAGAGCTGCTCTAGTTTTCCACAGACTATTCCTTAAGATAGTGGAGGATGGAATTTGGGTCCCAGTCCTGGCTCAATTCTGATGAGTTCACTGGCTGTGCTGGCTGCATTGATTATGACGCAGGTGGGCTAGGCTGCTGGAGAGCAGGCATTAAGATATCTGAGCCTAAAGTGGCTCCTGTGGGAGGCTTCCTTGGGGAGGCAAAAAATAGAACATGGGATAGGTGCCTAGCTAAGCTCCCATGGTTCTCCTACTGTGCTGGGCTCGCTGATTCTGGCCTATGTGAGCTATGCTGCTGGGACACTACTGGATAGATCTCTTTGCCTAGAGCTGTTCTGGTGTCCCACAGGGTTCCCTTAGATGGTGGGGAATGTAATTGGGTCCCAAGGCTAGCTCAGCTCCGCTGAGTTCACTGTGCCATGCTGGCTGATTCTGACTTGGGTGAACCTGGCAGGAGGGAAGTAGACAGAATATAGCTTCATCTCTCTCCACAGTACAAGAATATATCCCCTCCACTGGGTGTTGATAGTGAGCACCACTAGCCACTGTGACCAGGGAGTTGTCCACAGGTTGTCTAGTGTGGTTTCCTGGGTTTGGGAACAGGACCCTCTAATACCCAGAAGGTGGCCACAGGACTGTGAGAGTGAACATCCAGATTTGGAATCTCACCCACAGTACAGGAAGGTATTCACTCTACAGACAGTGAGGGTGAGTGCCCAAGATCAGAGATGCCAGGCTCTGATCCCATGAAGATATCCACAGAAAGTGGCTTGGGCGGTGGATGGACTAAGGCTATGGGGTCATAACTTACTGTGTACCCTGCTGCTTGTCCTGGAAGTTATCCACAGATGGGGTGTTTGAACAAATGGCTGGCCTAAGGCTGCAGGATAGGAGCTCTCTTAGTGCCCCACTTCTGCACATCCAGAGAATATGTCCACAGATGATGAGTTTGGGTGAGTGCCCTAGGCCTGCAGCATTAGAGCCCAGGTAGCTGCTGCCAGTCCCAGAAAGATACTTACAGAAGGTAGATTTAGGCACATGGCTTAACGCTGCAGCAGTGCTGGGCAGGATCCTGGGAATTTCCCTGGTATTAGCAGGGTGGCCTGAAGATGGGCCTTCAAGTATCACTTTGTATTCTCCTCTCACCTAAGAAATACAGATGTTGGAGTTTGGGGGTCTACACTATAACCTGCCTATCACCCTGCTTTCACTGCTGTTCAGATAACCTGTGTGGTCAGCACCACTATCTTGGATCCCCATAAAGGGAGGTTTTTGTTCTTCGTCTTTGAATTCCTGACCACTAAGAGAAAAATAATACTCTCATGATCGGTAGAGCATATATTAATGTCTAATTACCTAAACAAGCATCACACACACCTTTGAGTCCAACGCTTGGGAGGTAGAGGCAAGCAGAAATCAAGTTAGCCTGATGTATATAGTGAATATCAAGATAGCCAGAGCTACATAATACAGACCATGCAGAAAAAAACAAACAAACAAAAAAACTTACCAATAAGTAGCTACATGAAATATGTAGAATTTTTTTTTTTGACATTTTGGCATTTTTCACGAACACAAAACAAAATATTTAAGAAGAAATTAAAAAAGTAGACATAAAAACTGAACATCATTAAATTTGGTGAATGACAAAATTCATGCAATCACAATTTGATTAGGAGGGGGCTGGTGAGATGGCTTGTAGGTTAAGAGCACTGACTGTTCTTCTAATTGTCCTGAGTTCAATTCCCAGCAACCACATGGTAGTTCATAACCATCTATTTTGAGTTCTGTTGTCCTTTTGGTATGTAGGCACACATCCAGGCAGAATGCTGTATAAATAATAAGTAAATAAATATTTTTTAAAAAAGTTCCCATTTTGAAGTAGGGATTTAAAATATTGCTCAGGCTAGCCTTAAACTATGAACCTGCTTCTGCCTCCATCACAGTGAGATTATAGGTGCTCACCATGATCAGTCAAAATCCTTCTCTTAATGGATTCCCAGGCATTTTATCACATGCCTACAATCCCCGTCCTTGAAAGATTGAGGCTGGAGGATGAAGAGTTTGAGGTCAAGCCAGGTGCAGTGTTGACACATGTCTTTAACGCTAGGACTTTGCTTTCAGGGGCAGAAGCAGGCAGATTTCTGTGAGTTCAAGGCTACTCTGGTCTACAGAATAAATTCCAGGAGAATACAAAGAGAAATACAGAGAGAAGGCCTGTCTCAAAAACCAAAACATAAAAAAAAGAATTTGAGGCCAGCATCGGTTGGAAGACTAGGTACATAGCTAACTGGTAGTCTGTGTTTAGCATATCTAAGGCCTAAGGTTCAATTTCAAGCATCAGAACAAGGAAATATTACTAAATGTAATAGGAAGGTTTTCTTCCAAATGAGATAGGATTCTATAGTGCTTTTCAGCCAGTGAGTATCATCTTACACTTTTGAGTCACGTGTCTTTAAGTCCAGCAATATAGAGAAAGAGACTGGTAAATCTCTGGAAATCCAAGGCTATCCTGGTCTATATAGTGAATTCCAGATCATTCAGGGCTACATAATAAGAGTTTGTCTCATCCTCTCTCCCTTCCACAACAAAAACCTCACAAACAAGACCAATTCTCCAACTAGGAGCATGGTATGGGGATGATAAGCAATAATTGTCTAAGTCTGACTTACTTAACACAATAATCACCAGGTCTGTCTTTTTTCCTGCAAAGGACACGATTATCATCATCTTTATGGCTGACAAAAAAAAAATCTACTGTACATATACCATCTTTTCTTTTCTTTTCTTTCTCTCTCTCTCTCTCTCTCTCTTTTAATATGGAACACTTCATGAATTTGCATGTCATCCTTGCGCAGGGGCCGTGCTAATCTTCTCTGTATCAGTCCAAATTTTAGTATATGTGCTGCTGAAACGAGCACCCATCTTTTCTTTATTCATTTACATTTCCCCTCATTCACCTGTTGACAAGCATTTAGGTATTTCTTATCCAGACTGTTATGAATAGTGATGGAATAAACAGAGATATCCAAGCAGTTCTGTTGTTTGCTTACCCAGCCATCTAGGCAAAAGAGGTACAACTGGATTATATGGCACTTCTACCTTAGTTTTCTGAGGAAGCTCCCTGAGTTCCTTAGTGTCTTCATGAGTTTACATTCTCATCAGTGGTGTGTAAGTGTTCTTCCCCCACAGCCTGTGATGACCATTCACTGACAGTGGCAAGATAGAATCTCAATATTTTTTAATGTGCATTTTTCCAATGATTAATAGTGTTGAATTTATATATTTTTATTTATCTGCCATTTGTATATCATTTAAAGAAAAGACACACTATTTATTGTGTGTGTGTGTGTGTGTGTGTGTGTGTGTGCGTGCATGAGTGCCAAGGCCCATGTGTAGAGGTCAGAAGACAACTTATAAGAGCCAGATCTCCTTTTTCACCATGTGAGTCACAAGGGTCAAACGCAGATTATCAAGGTTGGTGGCATGACCTTCAATGACTGACCAATCTTATCAGCCCTATTCATTATTTAAAATTAAGATTTATTTATTTAAATGTGTAGTGCCCATAGAGGTTAGTAGAGAGGATCTAATAAGTTGTAGATGATTCTTTCTTTATTTCTTTGTGTCTCTTTTCTTTTCATTTATTTATTTTTTATTAATAAAATTTTTATTTTTTTCATTAATGACATTTTATTTGCTTTGTATCCTAGCTGCAGCCCTCCCATGCCTCCCAATCTCACCCTCCTTCCCTCATCCCCTCCCATGCCCCTCTCCAAGTCTACTGATAGGGGAGGTCCTCCTCCCCTTCCATCTGACCCTAGCTTATCAGTTCTCATCAGGACTTGGTTGTAATGTCCTCCTCTGTGGCCTGGCAATGCTGCTCTTCCCTCCGGGGGGGAGGGGGTCAAAGAGCAAGCCACTGAGTTCATGTCTCAGCAGTTAAGAGCACTGCCTGCTCTTCCAGAGGTCCTGAGTTCAATTCCCTGCAACAACATGGTGGCTCACAACCATCTATAATGTGATTTGATGCCTTATTCTGGCATGTAGGTGTACATACAGATAGAGTATTCATATACACAAAATAAATAAATCTTTAAAAATGAAAGTTAAGAAAAGAATTTCTTTTCTTTTCCTTTTAAAGAGAGGGTTTCTTTGTGTAGGCCTGGCTGTCCCAGATGCCCTTTGTAGACCAGGTTGGACTCTAAGTCACACAGATGTGCCTGCCTCTGCTTCCCCAAGTGCTGGGATTATAGTCCTGCACCACCATGTCCGGCCCAGTTATAGATGGTTATAGCTGCTCTTGGGTACTGGAAATTGAATCTCAGTACTCTGAAAGATCAGTCTCTCTCTTCACTGCTGAACCTTCTCTCCATTTCTTTTGGAAAATGTCTGGTCAGTTATTGACTGTTTTATTTGTTCAATGTTTATATTTGTTTCATTTGTTTTTCGTAGTTTTATAGTTTTCTAGTTAATTTCTTCACTTATTCATTTTACATTTTGTTTTGTTTTGATAAAAGTCTACTCTGTGTAGACTTGGATGTCCTGGAATTCACTCTGTAGAACAGGCTGGACTCAAACTCACAGAGAAATATGCTTGCCTCTACCTCTGCCTCTCATGTGTTGGGATGAAATGCATGTGCTAAAACTTCCCAGTTTAAAGGTGGCAGGAGAGACAGCCATGGGTGCTGGAAACTGAACTCTTACATTTTTGGTTGTGAGCCTAGCTGTAAATGGCTGAGTCATATCTCCGGCACATTTTATAAGCATATATTAGCTACATACAAGAATGTATTTCTTCATAGATTCTGGATACTAATTCCTTGTTAGATATATAATTGGCAAAGGTATCTATCCCCATCTATTACATGCTGTCACTTCACTCTGATTGCTTCCTTTGGTGTTCTGCAAAAACTTTCTAAAATCATGCAATACTTTATACTTTATCAGTTTTTTTTTCAACAATTTATTGATCTGTTAGTTATTTTCAGAAAGTCTTTGCTTATTCCATTATTGTGAAGCACCGAGGACTTCTTATTTTTACTGTCTGCCTCTCACTACTGAAATTCAAATTCTTCAAGGGGAATTGAAACATCTATAATGCTGGCAAGTTAGCAAGTTCTCAATAAATATTTGCTGAAGAAACCAATGAGATCCAACTATTTGCTGTCAAAACGAAGAGCAAGAAACTAAGTCTCAGTAGGTTAGTGATTTTATTACTATTATTGGTTTTTCATCATAGGGTTTCTCTGTGTAGCTCTCTCTGGCTGTCCTAGAACTTTTTCTATACTCCAGGATGTTCGCAAACTCAAGAGGTCTGCCTGCTTCTGCATCCTGAGTGCTGGAACTAAAGGAATGCACAACCACTACCCACTTAGTGATTATTTTTCTAATGGTAATGAACTAAAAGTAAACCAATTGTATTTTTTCATTCTATTGGAAAACAAAAGCCACTATGCTGTAACATCCAGTGGTTATATCGAACTGAAAAGATTAGAAAAAGCTGAAGAAAAACAGGGAAAGTGTCAAGTTAAAATTCTTTACTACCAAAGAAAATATAAAAGCAAGCTTAGCACTGTTGACTGAAACGTCTTATTTCAAAAAAGTTAAAAAATGTTGCAAGATCCAGAACTTTAAGAAACAGTCCCATGGAATAGCACAAAATCATATACCTGCCTAAATCTTGCTACATCAAGAATGTCATTATTCTTGATTTCAACTATGTTAGGAGCTACTAATTTCTGGGTAAAAGTTTAAAACTTAAAAATTGGGTTTTCATTAATACATTAAAATAAATGTTTTAAAAATTGAGTGGAAAAATGGTAACTGAAAAAAAAAAACTTGAGTTAGGTACAGAAATAAGAGTCTAGAAAATCACCAAATCACTACTTTATAATAAGAAAATCCCAAATTTTGAAATACCATTGATAGCAGATATTAGTATGAAAAATTAACTTCATGAATTCAATGCTTGATTATGATTGCAAGGAATATACTATATAAAGAGACCACTTGCTCTGGCTTTTAGTAATTTTCAAAGAACACTCATATACATACAATTTAAAGTAAGAAGTAAAATTATCAATATTCACAGAAGACCCAAAAAAGTCATCCAGAGAACTCCTTCAGCTGATAAACACCTAAGTTTATCAGCTGAAGGAGTGAATGGATACATAATTAACATAAAAAAAAGAAAAAGAAAAAGCTGTAGCCCTCCTACATGTGAAAGGCAAATGGAATGAGAAAGAAATTAGGTAAACAACACGTTTCACAATAGACACAAAGGATGTAAAAAATACCTTTGTGTAATCTAAGCAAGCAAGTCAAACACTTTTATGAAAAAACTTCATAAAAAAACTTTCAAAAAAAAAACCAGTAAGCTAACAAAAGACTTGTTTTCTTAAATGTGGTGAAAATAGGCATGTCTCAAGTCTAAATTCCATAATGAAGGTTCAATTAATTAGTTGGTTGGTTTTGTTTGTTTGTTTGTTGTTTTTTACTTTATTTTTTAAGATTTTTTTTTTGAGTCCAGGTGTGTGTGGTGGCACATGCCTTTAAATTCATCATTCAGGAGACTGAAACAGGTAGATCTTTGTGGGTTTGAGTCTAGCCTCATGTACACAAGGTCCAAGACTGCCATGACTATACAGAAAGATCCTGTATCAAATTATCTTTTAATTATTACATTTTATGTGATTGGGTGTTTTGCCTACATATACAACTGTGTACCACATATATGTATGGTACAGATGGAAGGCAAAATGGGACATCAGATTCCCTGCACAGAAGTTGCAAATGGTTGTGAGCTACCATGTGGGTGTTTGGAATTGAATCTGGGTCTTCTGAAAGAGCAGCAGTGTTCTTACCAGTTGAGTTATCTCTTGAGTCCGTCTTTTGTTAGCTTGTAAAGTAGTTCAAATCGGTAAAGTATAGTGGGCTTTTACATGTGCTTAATAAAGCTGTAAAAGAAGTATTCAATAGATAAAGACCTCAGCCATTAGACAAAGCAGGCAGACTTCCCTACTAAAAGGAAAAGGTCTTGTTATATGACATAATCTATATGTTTTTATATCAACTTATTTAGTATAATATAATTCCCAGGAGAGTTTAATAATACAAGTTTTATTAAAAATAAATAACAATAAAACTGTTCATAAAACCTATATTACATGTTACAATTATATATAAACATTAAAATAAAAAGTATGCATCTCTATCTATATCTGTGGACAAGAAACAAGTACACATTTTGATCTCAAATTTTTAATATATTATCTTTATCTAAAAGAATTGCATTAATAGCTAAGACAGTAACTATTGAGTATCAATTTAATGCAAAACTTGTTTTTTACTTTAATAGTTTTAAAATATTAATTACAGTTTATTCAAATTTTATCCCAGTTGTAACCTCCTCCATCCCAATCACAACCTCCCTCCCTTATCTCTTCCCATTCCCCTCTCCAAGTCACTAATAGTTCTGCTATTAGCTTCAGGATCAGTTTTGATACCTTCCTGGATAAAATCTTTCAGATGCCCTCTGTGGTAGGCTCCTGTCCTCATTTTTGTGTTCTTGCTCTTCTGATGTCCTTCCCATTTGCCCTTCTCAGTGAGGATTGATCATCTTACCCTGGGTCCTCATTCTTGCTTAGTTTCTTTAGGTGTACAGATTTTAAGTATGTTTATTCTATATTATATGTCTAATATCCACTTATAAATGAGTATATCCTATGTGTGTCTTTCTGCTTCTAGGATGCCTCACTCAGGATGACCTTTTCTAGTTCCCACCATTTACCTGCAAATTTCATAATTTCCTTGTTTTCAATTAGAGTAGTATTCCATTGTGTAAATGTACCACAATGTCTGTATCCATTCCTCAGTTGAGGGGCATCTAGGTTGTTTCAAGTTTCTGGCTATTAAGAAT